ATTGTTGCCCTTTTAATTACTTCCTTAGTACAAAACGTTACAGAGCTCGTTCTAATCCCTCTAAAGTTTTCGTTTTTCCAATCCGTATGGTTCCAGTTACATTTATCCACTGCTTCCTCTTAAACCCAGAACCCAGAAAAAAAAAATCAATTTCAACGAAATGAAATGCCAAATCAAGGGGTAAATGTTCATTACCAGCTGCAACCAGACACGAATATACCGAGAATCGTTTCTGTATCTCTTATCAGATTCAAATGACTGTGCACATTTCTGCAAAAACCTCGGAAGCTTCTCGTTCAATATCTCAGGCGGTAAGCTCTCTTTCATCTTCTTCACACCTCTGTTTCAGATTGACCCATGAATCAAAGAAAAAAACCCATCAATACAAACATTAATTTCTATCAACTTAATGTATCGATGCTTCAGAACAATCGACAAACATTACCGGATCCAGGGAAGAAGATGGTCTTTTCCGGAGTACGATTTTATGTCGACGATCAATGAAGCCAACAAGTTCTCGTACCCATTATCGTTCTTCGCCATTTTTACTTACTTCTTCTCAATTTTCCCAATTGAAGAAAGCGAAGAACAAGACGAGAGAGGGATTTACATGAATTTGAAAAGATTCTTCTTTTCCGTACCGGCTTACCATCAAACCGGTTGATCAATTAACCGGATTGATCAAATAACCGGGATAAGCAAATGTCTTTACGGTAACAATGAAACGGGCTTTAGAAGGCCCATAATCTAAATGTACCGGGTCAAACTCGAGTCGGATCCAAGTCGGATACTAAATCTCAATCAACCAGAATGAGCTTGGAGAAGACGTAAAACCCTAAATCCTACTTGTCTTCTAGAATCTTCTTCGCTCTGCTTTACATTACTCTTCCTTTCTGCGAGTGCGAAATTGTCAAGTTAGCTTCTTTAGTTCGATCCTTTTTCAGTTGATTTCTCCTTCTCATGGCGAATCCGGCCGAGAAACCCGACCCGAATGCGGCGGAGAAACCCGACCCGAATCCTTCAACCCCCAAACTCGAACCTCAAGATGAAGAGATACACGAACT